CATAAAAGTTTAGCATAGGAGGGAATATTAGAGTTCACTAAGACCAAACCTTCAATGCCTCAGAAGAAGCAGAGAGTTCAGAGAAATGATTTGTTCAAAGTCATCTAGCTAAAGAGAAGCAGATTCAGACTAGAACTTATTTATTATTTCATTCCCTTAGCAGTCAGGAAATTCTGCTGTGTTCCAGGTAAGGTACTAAGCAGCAAAAATACTAAGGATGGATAAAATTTTCCCTTTCCTCCAATGAGTTGACAGGGTAGGAGTGTTGAGGTTGGGTAAGAGACAGCTATAGACTTTACTAAAGACATTAGTGCAATCCCCAAAAGACATGAGATTTTTAAAATCCATATTTTATGCTTCAAAATTCAGCTAACACTCCATTTTAGAGCTTCAAATCAGAGCAGTATGTAAAATAGCAAAGGAGTAGTGCAAAGGAAACAAAGGGACCCTTATTTGTAGATTTTCTAACAGTATTTCCACATAATGTAATATCACATCTGCAATTCGAATACATTGTTCCTTCTCTAATCCAGAAAATTATGCATTAGAGAAGGAACAAGTTAAAAAAAAGTGATTTTTTCTTTTTTAACATTCCAGGATAGACTCAATTCCTAGGCTCAAGCCATCATCCTGCCTCATCTCTGGAGTAGCTGGGATTATAGACACCTGCCACTGTGCCTGGTACTGTCAGTTGTATAGGTAGAAATGTGTGATTTGTTTAAATTCCCTTGCACATGTTGTATGTATATGGAAAGTATGGTTTTACAACTGATGCCAAATAAACTTGTATATGAGAAAAACAGTTCACTTAGAATATCATGATTAACTAAACATGAGTTTACAAAAAGAGACCAGAAAAATTGTGTAGCAATCAGAGTAAGATTTACAATGATAAAATGAGTCTGATGGATGAGAAATTATATTTGTAAAAGTGCCAAGTTCTGCATACAGAAGGACAGTTTTATGAGCAGTTATGACAGAAGTCTCTGTCACCAGGCCCCTGCGGGCAGCTCAGAACCACATTGATTCAAGTTCCTCTGTGAGCTGTCAGGACTATGAGGATTATTATATTTTTTAAGCATGACATGTAGTTATTATCACTAGCGTGAGAGAAAATCAAATGACCTATCACACTATTCTTGATTTTATTTAATTGTTTTGGTACTAACAATCATTGTTCTTAAACAATGGAATTAAATATAAGCTCTGTCAAAAGTTTTCTAAGAGGGCTTTAAGCAAATGTTTAAAATAAAGTCTTTTTACTTTTTACTCCTTTACCTATTTGATGAATCTGTAAATACCTTAATTAACCTTCAGGAGTAGGAGGCTTTCATTTTCTACTCACTGACTTCACTGAGATAAATTAAAACAGCAATCCATTGATGTTGAAATGTCAAGGCTAAAATGTCACAGAAACATCAAGTTCAGTAAAGTTGCTCTCCTGTTTCAAGAAGTCTAATGATATAGTCATCCGCGTTATCTTTAAGGATGTGGATGTGTAATCATTGAAGAGCTTCACGGCTGCAACCTTAACATTATCAGTCACAGTCCTTGAGTCAATGCTCATGCCCACACAGAAAAGCCAGTCTTCATTTCACTCTTGAATTCACACAGGTAAGTGGGTGGGTATGTGCTCAAACCCAGAGATGCATTATCACATTAATCCAAGTCCATTCATCTCATTGCTCTGATTTTTCTTATTTCCTTTGAAACTAAATAATTCTTTACCTACTGCCCTTCATTGCTTAATAATTCAAAGAAAGAACTGGAAAGAGTCAAGAACCAGTTACTATGACTATTCATTTACTTCTTAATGCTTCAATGTCCCTCTTTGTGAATTGTGAATTGTAATATCTGGCCCAACTGCACAGATGGCCAGAATAAGAGAAATACTATCTACAAGAGCACTTAAAATGCTTTGGAAGAAAGGCATAAGGATATTGTAACTTTAAAAATAAATGGTACAAGGGTTGGGGTTGTGGCTCAGAGGTAGAGCCCTTGCCTAGCATGCATTAGACACTGGGTTCAATCCTCAGCACCACATAAAAATAAAATAAAGGTATTGTGTTCACATACAACTAAAAAATAAATGTTTAAAAAATAAATAATTTTTTAAAATAAAATAAAAGGTACAAAATAAGGAAATGAATGCAGCAAGTAAACAACAAAAGAAATCAAAGTCTTGGGCACTGTTGTTGCTGGATATTTTTTCTTTTTGTCAGTTATCCTCAAAATATCGTTCAGCTCCATAATGGCTGATGTTTGTGTGCATCCTGCCAAACACTGTAACATTCTTTAGGAACCATATTGTAGGGTAACATGGAGGAAGCAATTTACCACTGAGAAACACTTTGACTTCTTTATCTGCCTCCCCTCTCAGTCTATAAGCTCTGATATTTGATGTGAACACAAAGCCTCATTTGTTTGTTCCAAATATCTAGATATGTGGGTGAACTCATTCTACCAAGGAATGTCATCAAAGTTCACATCTGCTGATTCCGTAGCATGAGGCATCTGACCATTTGATCCCCCAAAAACAGTGTGAAGCACTTTTCCTACCTGAAAATAAATTGTTCCCACCCAACAAAAATGTATTGAGCATCAACAATGTAGAAGGCACTCTATTGGCCATGGTGGAGAATGCAAAAATGAATAAGTCATTTTTTTTCCCTAAAAAGGAACTTTACAGGCCCATATTCTTAGATACAGAGCCCAGCCAGAGTCAGTTCTCTGGAATGGAGGCTGTGGCATTTATCTCTCTATACTTAGGGCTTACGTTCTGTGCATTGACTAAATAAATGATTAAATAGAAGAATAGGTGTTCTAATGAAGGTGTTTCCTATTCTTGTGTTTAACCACAATAAATCATTTCTAGCCTCTTCACAGTCTGATCCCAATTGTCTAAATTAGAAGGAAAGAAGAATCTAACACTGAAACAAGTTAGAACACAAGGAGGACATATTAAAAGTGAGAAAGAAAAAATTTAGGGAAGGAAAAAGAAAAGTGAAATCAAAATTTCTTTAGAAAACTTAGGAAGAATTCAGTTGATTTTCAATAACTGTAATAAAATAGACAATAACCTTAGTGTTAGTCAGTTTTTACCACTCTGACAAAATACCCAAGAAAAACAACTTAAAATAGGAAAAAGTTTATTATGGCTCACAGTTTCAGAGGTCCATGTTTGGCTGGCTCCATTGCTCTAGACCTGAAGTGAAGCCGAATATTAAGGCAAAGAGCACAGAAAGGAAAGCTGCCCACATCTTGGCAAAGAGGAAGGGACTAAGGAGAAGATATAGTCCCCAAGGGCACACCCCCAAGGACCACTCCCTCTGACTAGGTCCCACCTCCTACAGTTTCCATCACTTCTCAATAGTTTATTAAGCTATGAATCTCTCAATGGATTAATCTACTGATGAGGTCAGAGTCCTCATGATTCAATCACTTCCCCAAATTCCCGAATCTAAACATTGATGCATTGAGGACCAAGCCCTCAAGTGAGTCTTTGAGGGACACTTTGTATCTAAATCATAAAAGACTTTGTGAGGAGAAAAAAATGGTGAAAATAGAATTAATAAAAGATTTTAGATAAAGGCAAAGGTTGAGGGGGGGGGGGGCTTCAGCAGATGCCAGGCCACTTTGTCCCAAGAATGGAATCTTAAATAACGTTTCAAAGAATGTTAGGTATGTTATTTGGACAAGGAATGATGCAAACACCACCTACCCTAAGTTCTCTGTCCACCTGCTGTCTTCATTCCCTTATACAGTAGTTCCCAAACTCTTTTTTTTAAATATTTTATTTTTTAGTTGTAGTTGGACACAACATCTTTATTTCATTTATTTATTTTTATATGATGCTGAGGATCGAACCCAGGGTCTTGCCTACCACTGAGCCCCCCAAACTCTTTGATCTCAGGTTGTCTTCAAACTCTTTAACTCTTTTACTTATGTAAATTACATCTAATGATACCATATAACATTTTAAAACAGAGAAGTTTCCAGAATATCATTTTGGATCAAGACAACGAAGTATAGTTATTCGTTGTGTTTTAACATAAAGTCTGTGAAAAGTTCAAGATAATTGTCTAAGAATAATAAAGTTATAGCTATTCTGGTAGATTTGGCCAAAGGTAGCTAACAAAAAGTACAGAAGTACTGAGAACAAGCAAATTTTATTAATTTCTACGAGTCTCATAAATCTCTCCATAAAATATACATATTGATACTTTAAACCTACCCTTACAGAAACTGCTATACCTCCAGTTATTTTAATTAGCAGTGATATGTCATCACATGTCAAATAGGCTCTGGAAATTTCCATTGTACACTCTCGAAAGTGAAAATGCAAATCATGTTGATACCACAGTGGAAATAATTTTAATCCTGGAGATCGCTTGAAAGGAGAACCACTATTTGAGAACTAAAATAATCTATTAATTTTAAGGTCACTTCTTCTTTCATATCACTAACAAACTATTTCCTCTAATGAGTGTTTTGTCCTCGTCCCTTTACCACCCTTTGAGAACAGTTGACCTAAGGTAACCACGAACTCTAGCTTAATGCAACCCAAAGTGATAAGCCTCCTGACGCCCTGAGGCCGTTTCTGTTTAGCGCTGGGAACGAAAATGCTCTCCTGCATTTCCACACAAGACAGAGTCTAGAAACAAGTCCCAAAGTTGCCACCCGCGCCGCCAAGGCGGGGCCACAGCTGGCAGCAGAGACCCGGCTCGCCCAGGGCTCGGAACAGAAGCTGCAGCTGCTGAGAGCGCAGCGTCGAGTCCTTGGAGACGCCAACCGGAGACCCGCCCTCCGCATGTAAGCCAGCCCCGGGAGGCGGGGCGCAGCCAGGTGCTCCCCAGGTAGACGCGTCTTCGCTTTCCCTCTGCTCGGTCGGCGGCCTCCCAGGGCCTACGCAAGAACTCGCGGCGCACAAATTTCCCCACCCACAACGCTCCTCCGCGCACCCTGGGCGCCTCCTCTGTGTACTCGCTGGGGCCATCCGGGCACCGTGGAGAGCGAGAGTCGGAGTGTCGCCGAGATTTAAGACAGAGGGTCCAGAGATCTCAGGGACCACCGAGCAACAGGGCTCTGGCCCCGAGACTGTTGGAACATGTGCCGGGGAATACAGGTGCGGGGCCCGGAGACGGGGGTTGGGGAGCGGAGGAGAGGTTACCCGGGGAGATACAGGTGCCGGGGCTGAACCCACCGGGCGGATTCCAATGCAAAGCGGAGGGTTGTCCCGGCAAGGGTCCTATTTGCCCTCGGAGAATTATAGGGCGCAGCATTTATCTCCAGGCACTCCCAGCAGGGGCACTTTCCCGGAGGGCGGAGGGTCCGGACGACCGAAACTGCGCGTGGGGCGCAGTCGCGCGGTGGCTTTGAGTACAACAGGTCGGTGACTCAGTTACCACTGAAACTTGAAGTGCTGAGCTTGGGGCTTTTTTGATGTGTTTTTTTGATTTTTTGTTTGTTTAGCTTGTTTGACAGTTGCCAGACTATGTTTACACTTCTGATTCTACTCAGCCAACTGCCCGTAGTTATCTTCGCATTTCCTCATTGCACAAGAAGTCTAAAGGATACGAAGCATGCCGGAGAAGAAGGTAAGAATGACCGCAATTTCCGAGAAAACCCTCCTGGAAACTGGAGCTGCATATTACAGATCTCTAACGAGAAAGTGTGGTGCTTGAAATTACATGGCCCCTCGAACCTTGGAAGTATTAAACTATCCTTTAGTTTAATCTGTGGCTTATTTGGTAATGTGGGTTTTCATGTTCTTTAAAGTGTATACAAATGTATATTTCCTTTGATAAATATATGTTTTAAGTCGTGGTTTGCGGTTAACTGAATGGAAAGCCTATTTTAACTCTCCTTTTCCTAGATGAACCTACCTGTCAAATTTTTTTTAATATTTATTTATTTATTTATTTTAGTTTTAGGTTGACACAATATCTTTATTTTATATTTATGTGGGGCTAAGGATCAAACCCAGTGCCTCATGCATGCTAGGCGATCGCTCTACCATTGAGCCACAACCCCAGCCCCAAGCTATATGGCAATTATAAAAAGCACAATTATTTGTTCTTCTAGGAAAGGTGGACAGGGAGTCCAGGCTTTAGTCGGGACTTGTTTTTGCACTCTGGGGATAGAATGCAGGTCCTCATGCAGGGTAGGCAAGCACTCTACCACTATGCCACTCTCCCTCAGTCACCTTGTCTGGACTTGTTATGAGATCCTGAGAAAAGCACTTAATCCCTTTGGACTTGAATATCTTCCTCTGTAAAATGATGGGACAGAATGATATCCCAAGTCCTTTCCTTCTTTCAAACGTCTAATTGTCTAGATAAAGGCAGATGGTTGAGAGATTAGATTTGGTGCTCCCTAACCTAGAAGTCTGCATTTTACCTTCGCCATAATCAGATTAGTTCTTGCCAGGTTAAAAGCCTAACCTAGCAAAACCAGAAAAGGAAAAAAAAAAAAAATTCCTCTGGGTGTCAGCATCCTTCTCCTTGTATAGTCATTGTGCTTCCCCACCCAGTGCCAGCACTATGTACTATTCCACATGTTCTTGTCCCTTATCACATCTCATCAGGTCCTACTCGCAACTTATTTTCATTTGAGAAGGATCTGTTTCTGTCTTATTAATAATACAGTTGTGTGTGTGTGTGTTAAGATAGGGCAATCCTTTAACCTAAAGGAATAACATTTTAATGACAAAATTCTAGGCACTTGAATAGGCTAGCTGGTGGGATAGGGAAAGATTTTGGAAGGAAAGAGATCCTCCTTGGTACTCTCTAAGTCACACCATATGTAAGTCCATCTATATATAAAGTTGATGGCCTATACTCAGTAGGACCAGATGATACACCACAGAATAATTATGAGTGTATCCATTCATTCACATGACTATGCATAAAAGTCACTTTGAAGGCCATCAAAATTATGGAAGTAATTTAGAAATCATATTTGAGTGTGGAGAACTAGAGATGTCTATGGGAAATGAAAATGAGGGATCCTAAATATTTGAAAAGACAACTACATTATGAATACATAGTACACCAGGCCCTATGCTAGGTGCTGGAGATATAGAAATGAAGTACTGTAATCCCTGCCATGGATACCTTCTTCGTCTGGTGGGGGAGGCAGGTTATAAACAGATAATCTCCAAAAGCTTTGTAACAGAAGTAGAGACAGAGAACCCTGGGAGTGAAAGGCAGTAACCTTGCTCTAGGAAAGAGTTGTATGATACACAGAGAGTGCTTTCCATCTAAAACAGGACATAATAAATGGAGGTGTGAAGACTAGAGGAGTCTCCCTTTCTCTGCCCTGGATACATTCCAAAACTTCCAGTAGAAATCTCAGTACTGAACCCTGTATGTGAGCACTGCATACCACAAGAGTTGATCTGAAAACCAAGATGGCTACTAAGTTACTAATGGGCAGGTAATGTATACAGTGTAGACACTCTAAACAAAGGATGATTCAAATTCTGGGCAAGACTGAGCAAGAGGGGGAGATTTCATCATTGAACCCACAGTGACAGATAACTTAGAAATTGTCTATTTCTGGAATTATCCATTTAATATTTTCAGGCCATGGTTGATCCTAGTAAACTGAAACTATAAAAAGTAAATTTGTCAATAGGAGTACTACTACAACTGAAAAGCAGGGGACAGGTTCCTCCAGCTAAATTCTAATAAATTCTTAGAATGGAGATGAAATCACTTAAAAGGAACTTATTTAGAAAACATGGGGTGGGGCTGGGGCTGTAGCTCAGTGGTAGAGCGCTTGCTTTGCACGTGTGAGGCACTGGGTTTGATCCTCAGCACCACATAAAAATAAATAAAGATATTGTGTCCATCTACAACTAAAAAAATATATATAAAAAAGAAAACATGGGGTGATAGAAGAGATGAAGAGAAGTGGAATATTTGGGTGGAGGGATTTATAACAGTGAAATGCTTAGACAGTCTCTTAGGAGAGTCTAATATATGAGAAACAGAGAAGGGAAGAGAATCCTAAGAAAGCAGATGCAAAAGACCAGTACTTCATTCAGCTGCAGTCAAGGGGAGAATAGGGGTTCTCACTTGGAGCCAAGGGCACTCCAGGGGTAGGGAAGTTTGCTTCTTTCCAATTAGAAACAAATTCAAGGGTTATTTAGACTCCAAATGACAAAGGACATTATTTTTCCTGATGTAGGAAAAAATTTGACCTGATACTGAAAGTGAACTCTAAGTTTAGCCACTGACAGAAACAGTACTTTCACACAAGGAAGTGGCAAATATCAGCCCCCCAGAAGACACAGTTAATACAGTATTAACAATAATATTTTGATTAATCATAAATACATTCATCACATTGGTATAAATATAATTTAAAGAGAAATTAAAATGTCTATGGCACTCTCATTTTTGTTTTATTTTCAAGTTTAAAAATAGCTCTAGCTGGGCAAGGGTCACACACCTGTAATCCCAGCTACTTAAGGCTGAGAAAGGAGGATTACAAATTCAGGGCCAGCCTGGTTAATTTATTGAGACCCTTCCTCAAAATAAAAAAGGGCTGTGGATGTAGCTCAGTGGTAGAACACTTGCCTAGCATATATGAGACCCTGGGTTCAATACCCTGTACTGGGGGAGGAAAAAAAAAAAAGGCAAAGATCAGTACATACCTGAAAAGGAGCAATATAGTAGTAGATTTCTTATTCTCCTTTCTGAAATTAGATTCTATGCAGTAAATATAGCCAAATTGAGCAAGCTATGAGTTGCTTCTTCACTTATCTAATACTTTAAACCTATCCAAGTTGAGTAATACCAGATTATATCTATGAATTGTTTCCATTAGTTGAGTTTAGGTCCAAGAGTTTCTCCCCACAATAGGAAATCTGAGTTTGTTGATCCTATTTTGGGGGATACCTTCTATGTACCAGGCACCTACATCTCTGGGGAGAACAGAGTGCTAACAGAGTAAGTGAAGCACATAGAACACCAGATGGTGCTAATACTATGGAGAAAAGCAGAATATGGACAGGGAGTGTCCAAGGTAGGTGGATAGGGATGGGGATTCAAGGTAACAGTGAACAAAATCCTGAGGTGTGAGGGCAAACTGAAAGAAAAAAAAAAAAGTTCTATTCAAAGAAAAGAGCAAGAACAGAGGCAGGAGAGAACCAGGTGTGCTGGAAGCCAGCATGGAGTGATCACCACAGAATACTTGAGGGAAAGTGGTAGAAGATAAGGTCAGAGGGGAAACAGCTTGAGGCTCTGATTGCATAGGGCCTTAGGCCATAGTAAGGGCTTTGGCTTTTATTCTGTGGGAGGCAAGATTGTCATTAGGTTTTTTAAAAGCAAAGTAGGGGGTTGAGTGTTTGTATATGGAAGAAGGAGCAAAATAAAGGAAACAAAGCAAGGAGGATCAGATATCATAAAGCTCTAGGAACCAGTAGAGTAGGAAATTGCAAGGGAGAGAGGAGGGACAGGAGATGTGGAATAAATTTTTAAAAATCAGGGTTGGGGTCGTGGCTCAGCGATAGAAAGCTTGCCTAGCCCATGCGAGGTCCCGGGTTAGATCCTCAGCACCACATTAAAAATAAGTATTGTGTTCAACTACAACTGAAAAATAAATATTTTTTAAAAATTTTAAATCATGCTATGTGGGGCTGGGGATATAGCTCAGTTGGAAGAATGCTTACCTTGTGTGCACAAGGCCCTGGGTTTGATTCCCAGCACACACACACATAAAAAAAAAAAAAAAAAAATCATGCTGTGTGCATATATTAATATACCCCAGGGAATGTCACCTTTACATATAAGTAGAAAGAGCCAATCAAAAATAAATAGAAGAGCCAAGTGCTGTGGCATATGACTGTAATCCCACCAGCTGGGGAGGCTAAGGCAGGAAGATCATAAGTTCAAAGCCAGCCTTAGCAATTTAACAAGACCTTGTCTCAAAATAGAAAATTTAAAAAGGAATGGGCCTTTTTTTTTTTTTTTTTTATTTGTAAATGGATTTTTTTTTTTTTTTTAATACGTGGTGCTGAGATTCAAACCCAGGGCCTCACACATGCCAGGCAAGTGTTCTACCACTGAGCCACTACTCCAACCCCAAAGGGTTGGGCTTTTTATACACCATAATATTTTTTTAACAGATTTATTAAAAGACAAAATTAGGGGCTGGGTTTTAGCTCAGTGGTAGAGCACTTGCCTTGCAAATGTAAGGCACTGGGTTCCATCCTCAGCATCACATAAAAATAAAATAAACAAAATAGACACAGAATAAAGTATGGGGTTCTTGGCTGGCTGGAAAATAACTGGATAAATAGGATTTATGGTTATAAGCTTTTTGCCTGAGGAATACCTCAAGCTTTGGCATACAGCATCAGGCACATAGAATAATTAACAGATGGCAGTGATTATTAGTATTATTAATGTTATGTTATGGATTCTCTTCATCATAAAATGTTAACCAGGCACATATAGACATTAAAGAGAGTTAAGGTATACACATAAGTATTTGCAATCTTTTAAATGTTATTGTAATATGAAACAGAGATACAAAAATTCACAAAAATTATATCACTTAATGAGTTTTTAAATAAATAAACAGTAAATAAATAAAATAGAGATATTGTGTCTATCTACAATTAAAAAAAATTCTTTTTAAAGAAAATGAACATTAGTGGAACCAACTTAGATACCCTTCAATAGATGAATGGATTTTAAAAATGTGGCATTTATACACAATGGAATATTACTCAGCACTAAAAAATAACAAGATCATGGCATTTGCAGGCAAATGGATGGCATTAGAGCAGATTATGCTAAGTGAAGTTAGCCAATCCCTAAAAAACAAATGCCAAATGTCTTCTCTGATATAAGGGGGGTGACTAAAAATGGGATAGGGAGGAAGAGCATGAGAAGAAGACTACCACTAAATAGGGAAGAGAGGTGGGAGGGAAAAAGAGGGAGAAGGGGAGTTGCACGGAAGATGGAAGGAGACCCTCATCATTATACAGAATACATGTATGATGTTGTGATGAGAAAAAGAAAAAAAAGTGTGTCACATTAGATTGGATAGAGAGAAATGATGGGAGGGGAGGGGAGGAGTAGGGAGGATAGGAAGGGCAGCAGAATAGAATAGACATTATGATTGCTGTATGTATATAGGTGACTCTATGACCAGTGTGATTCTGCAATCTGTACAATCAGAAAAATGAGAAATTATACCCCAATGATTCAAATGTATGAATTGCCAAGATCATTGTAATGTCATGTGTAGCTAATAAAAAAAAAAAAAA